TCCATGGTTAATTGTCCGGATGCACCGCGCGGAAGCCTAACCGTGAAGGGTTGGCTCGAGTGGATGGGACACCGCGAATTTTGAAAAAATTCGCTTCCATGGTTTGGTGAATTCAACATTCTCGGATGTACCCTTTGTTGCTCAGAGCGTTCAATCAGGTAGATGGAGCATGAATTCCCAGAGGGTTATGTCCATATGTAGAACACATATGGGTTTCTGAAAAGTGAGAAAAACTCAATCAGGAAGTAGGATCGAGCGAACAATGCTAAAAACTGGTCGAAATTAGAACGCATATTTCTGGCACGGTATTGGAAGAATTTGGCGCTAGCAAACAGGGATTGGCGCCAGGTTTTAGCTATAGCGCCTGGCGACAGGACTGTCGTCTGGCGCTACAGTTAAATGTCTTGCGCTAATATTCTGTTCGCTGACGCTAATTCCTACATGCCTCAGTAGCTTTCTGTGCTCGATAAAATTTTCCAGTTTAGCGCAGTGTTATTTCGGTCCAAGTTATGAAAGATATTCTTCAAATTTCCTACATGTAAAATCCTATGTTTTAACTCATTACGGATGGTCTTTCCAATGAGATCTTTTTTATGCATATGACAATAATGTTAATCAAAATTACGCACATGAAATACTTAGAACGTTTCGAGTCTCATCCACTCATTCTAAACCATTGCCGAAATAAATTTCAGGAATTAAAATAGAAAACTTTCCTAAGTGGAGTCGCCAAAAACTGTAGGGAATATTTCAAGCATTAACCCCTATATTGAACCCCATTGTGATCATACACTAAAGTACGGTGGCGTCCAAAGGGAAAGAAGATAGATTAAAAGAGTCACCAACAAGTTTTTTAGGAACTTGTAAACTGTTCACGAGGTGAAGGTTACACCCCTTAACGATCCAAGAGATCGTCAACTCCATAAGGTCTTGAACCAAATAGGGTTCGGGGATGAAGGTACAAATCCAACCTAAAAGAGATTGAACCTGCCCTAATAATAGGCCTCTACTTTATTCTAATCGTATTCATGTGCGCTTTTTGACTAACATACAATCAATAGGATTACCCTAAACCTGTTTATCTATATTGGTTGAATATTAATGCACAAATAAAACTATTATTGGCGATCACTTGAATTATAATCAAATTAAGCCTAAACAAGATTATTAATTATCTTATTAAGCGTGATTACAAGTATAAATTTCCTTTAAACATGCATAAAAGGTGTGATCAAGCAATAAAAATAAATATATAATCAAGCAACATAATAATAATCAATAATAATTAATCATAATCATGATCATAATAATAATAATATTAATAATAATAATAATCATGTTAAAGCATAATAATAGCAAGATCCTAGGCATGATACTAACAAGATTAATAACAAACCCTAGCATGTCACTAAATAATAAAAATCAAAGCTTTAGCCCTAACATGATACTAACAATCATAAATATTAGGAAGAACATAAAAGGCATCAAAACAATCATACTTAGTATTAAATTTACCCTAGACATGATACTAGGAATATCATAATAACAACCTAAGCATGAACTCTATATCATAACATCAATTAAAACCATTAAAATACTTACTTTGATGCCTCGTACCTCTTTCTAATAACAAAATACACACGTTAGTAACTTCAAGGAAAATGTAAAATCATAATAATTAATTAAATAATTGAAAGAGAGATTTGGGACCAAACCCTCAGAAATTAAACCTTTCACGTCTAGGGCGAAGGAAACTTCGAATATGGCTAGATGTTTCTAAATCTAATGAATGCGGAATTTTTATATTTGAGAGAAGGCTAGTTTAGAAAAGAGAGGGAGAGGAATCAAGAAAACTTGATGAGTGTTGGTGAATGAAAACGGAGTTTTTAACACGTTGTTTATAGAGAAAATCAGCCAAAAAGAACCTTCTAGAAGAATCTAGAAGACTAAAACCATTCCTAATTGCATTAGGAATGATAAATCTATATTAGGCCCTCCTCTAGATCATTGGGCCGCATATAAGGCTCAAACCGGGCCCAGTTCAGTAATTTGGCCATAACTTCCTCAATATTCATCGAAATTGGGCTTATAATATATCGTTGGAAATCTCTTGTCAAGCCCAATCCAACTACACTATTATTGGACCCATATCATAGACCAACCAAACTGGATTGGCTGTTTTCTTAAAATAAGTTTTCAAAAACAGAGAGAAGAGAAAAGAAATTAAAACTATTCGCAGCACTAAACTTTCCACACTTTCACTTCATTCGATTATGATTCGACGTGAAAGGTACTCATCATTGAGTTTGGTTTTGGGGAGACACAAATGGGTGTTTACAGCACTGTGATTTCTCCACGCATAAACTCACAAAAACCTAAAACCATTTTGCTCTCTACTATTTATACAAGTAATACTCGTATAGAAAGTAGGTTTTCTAAAAGATAAATAAGTTAACTTAACTTATCTTTAATCACGGTTTTATGTAAATCAAGTGGAATAAAATCTTTTCCGAAAAATAAGTTTAAAAAGATATTTATTAAGAAGACTTATCTTTTTAACAAACTAATTTTAAAGAAAATAATCTTTTTTTAGAAAATATTTTCCTAAAATCTATCTTTTATTATTTTCCATATTTATTTTATTTACCAAGCAAACTTATCACGTTTCTAATAAATTTTCGTGCACTAACCTACTTAACATATTAACAATAATTTATAAGATAAAAACCTTAACTAAATATTATTGCTGCGCCGCACTTTGATCAGGTGGATTACTTGGGCTCCAAGCATATTAAGTTCCACCAAAGAACTTAAACTGCTTGTCTTCAAGTTCCTGTTAGGGAACGTTCCTATTAGGGAACTTAGTTCTTGTTAGAGAACTCTTCCTCTGATTTGTTTAACTTCTTCAATAAAGATCTTCTTCATGTCTTCTTAGTTTCAGATGGTTCTTCAATCACCAAGATCAATCTTCACCTAGACTAATCACACACTAGAGAATCTTTATTAGTTGAGTTTGCTTTTAGTTCAAGTTCCTCATCATCAAAACCATTATGCTTCAACAGACCGCAAGAGTTTACCCAGGACCTTGTTTTCGTGGTCGTCTTCACTTTTGAAAAAACCATCGTAAATAGGGGTCAGATTTGCCATTTATAGAGACTCAATTTCAAATTTGAGCAAGAAGAGGGAAGAACGAGTAGAAATTGAAGATGGAGAGTGGAAAATTAAAGAGTGAGAATCGAAAATTGAAGACTGAGAAACGGAAATGGTGGAGAAGATGAAAAATGGAAGAAAAATGGTGAGAAGAGGGAGGAAGAAGGAGTTCTGGAAATTTGGGGAAAAGGGTTAGGGTTTGATGAATGTGGGATGAATGTATTTTTGATGATTGAATTCATTTGGTGGGAATGATTAAGGTTAATAAGTTGTGTTATAATTTAATTAAATCAGATTATAAATTTTAAGTTTATTTAGTGAGAGTAAAGTGAAGGAAGAAATGTCATTTCACTTACAAAAGCTTACCACATAAGGAAATTTTTTCTTTGTTGCACATAGTGTGTAACATCCGTGTTTGGTAATTCATTGTTGTACACAATGTGTACCGGAGGAAGTATATATATGGCCCTGTTTGGTAGTTAGCTTATTGGGGGTATATTAGCTTATTTGACTAACTTTAGCTGATTGACTAGTCTAACAAGCTAATACAAGTGTTTGGAAGTAAGCTTATTGAAAGAGCTTATTCCACTAAATAAGCTCTTTTTGAAAAAGCTCATTTTAGGAGCTTTTTCAATTAGCTTATTCATTAATTATTGTGAAATGACACTTATAACCTCATTTAATTTAAAATTCTATCTAAACTACCTACCCCACAATTAGCTTATTGGTCATTTCACTATTCAATCACCTTTAAGCTATCAGCTATTTACCAAACACTTTTATATAGACAATAAGTTAGTCAAATCAGTTAATAAAATCAGCTAATCAAAATCAGCTAACTCAATCAGCTTCATCTTTCAGCTTTCAGCTTTTTCCCAAACAGGGTCTATATACATACATATATATATATATAGTGTGTGTGAGAGAGAGACTATCACAACACGCTGTACAATCACATTCATTTATATTATTTTTTTACGGATCAATCTCGCTTATATAGTTGGAAAAAATTGGTTATAATGAGTGCAAATCCCATAGAAGTACCATAAGGATATGTACTGCAAATATGCATGTTGTGATAGTCAGAAGTCGAGCTTGATGAGCATGTGGCCAAGTCATAAATGGTTCAAAGAACATGCAGTTAATATACTTTTCAATCTCTTAGTCAGTATTCTCCATATCTTCGAATCTTACGCACAATTTCTATTTCATCTAACTACCAGCTGTAAAGATTCCATCACTCTTTAGAATATTGGTATGAAAATCGTATTACTCCCTCAATTTTTCTTCTTTTAATTAGTTTTTGTAGGCTAGATACTTCAAAGTAGGGGGAAAAGTAAGGAAAATCTTACCTTTTAGTACCTTTACTTGATAAAATTAGAGCCCTAAATCTTCAGGATTTAGGGTAGGTTTCTTACAAAGTGAGCCAAGCCGTGTTTGGTATGATCGAGAATTGTGATATGCTATGTACATTTGTGTTGAAATACACTTAGTATTTTTATTAAATTATACTAACATAAAGTTTTGATAATTAATTTTCTATTCCGTTTAATACATGAAAAATATTAATAATTAAAGCTTGCATTTTATAAACCATAAAATAAATAAAAATATATAGAAAAACAAAGAGGCCTAAGAGAGTATATTGTATAAAATAATACTCCGACAATTTATATATTTGGATATTGTAGGGATGATTACATGATAGTACTTGTACTACACAACATGATTTCATGATCTATTAGAATCTCATTTTACATCATGTAAGTTAGAAAAAGAAAAATAGAGAGAGAGAGAGAGAGAGAGAGAGAATGAATTTATTAATTTAATTAATTAATTGTCCAATACCTAAGAATATAATAAATTAATAATAATAATTAAACAAATTGAATTTTTAAAAATTAAGGGTCTATTTTCCCCCATATTTTCTTGTTTTTGTTGGAAATATGAGCCATTCTTCCAGCAAATGAATTGATAACAATGTTGTTTCCGAGCCAAACACGTCATTTTCCTTAGCTTGCAATTATTGAATGGTTCTTCCTTTAATTATCTTCGTCCATTCTTTAAACAATCTCTTGCTCCAATTGAACCTACTCCACAGCCAAACACACTGAATCTCAAAATATTAGCTTATAATTCATATATCCATTATTAATGATTAAATGACATATTACGGAGAATTTCCTACGTAAGTATAGTAGATTTGTTCCGTTAAATAGAAAGAGAATTGAGTACATGATATTGACATAGTACTATAAGCACAATAAAAGGTTTCTATGAACTCCTATCCCTTGTTATTTTAAGTATAAATCGATAATATAACAATTTATAGAATCATAAAATCATTTTTGCTAAGTATGGTTACCTCATTGTATTTAAGATTGATGGAGTCGTCGAAGATCTATGAATATGAATTCTTAACCTATCTCATACACGATCCTTAAACATTATCAATCTTATATTTGTAGTTTTCGACTAAGGGTATACCAACATATTGAGTTTTATAAGCGATCAATTAATGATCAATGATCTATTTTACTAATCGTTTTTATCATAAAGAATACACGGTATTTAATTATGACACCTCGTAGTAAATTAATACCAAGTATCACATATCAAACGTGACAAAAATTAAAAATAATCTAATAATTTATCATTTAGATAGAATGAGTATTCGAGGAAAAACTATAGTAAGAACGTCTTAACAAAAATCTACTAGTAATGTTTATTATCAAAACTAAAGAAAATTAGCTTTTTAATTTTGAATGTTCTTAATATTATAGTGGTGCTACTTTATACGTAGTAGAAGACATAGAATGACATTGATAGTTGCACACATGTAATGCCAGCAAAATTAGTTGTGGCCATGTCTTTAAGACAGCTTAGACCGTATGAGAGGCCATGACTGATGCCAACTACACCACTACATGAGGGAGCCAGACGTATAGTAATTAACAAATCAAGGTAATTAATAATTTAATTTACTTACTACTATTTATTTTCATTAAAAATATAATATATTGTCCAACCTATATATGAAGTATGTATTTTGATTCAACTGTGGCTACGATCTAGATCGCAATACTCAATCAACACTATCTAGCCTTGTGAAATGCTACATATACTATACGTTGTTACAAAATAACCTTGTTATGTCTTTTGCAACAACAACAAAAAAGGCACAACTTGAAAGAGAATTAGATTTTGATGCTAAGTGTACCCACTATGAATTATTGAATAATTGTGGTACTTAGATTTGTAAATGTTGTGCATTATTTAGATTTATTTCATCAAAAAGGAATTAAAAATAGTAATTTTGCTTGACGTGGTCTACGGAATAAAGGAAGAAAAATCAATAATTTCCATCAAGATTCTTTTGGTGTACACTAGGTCTAGTCTAAGGTGAGACGGTCCAACTAAACGTTGACGGTTTAACCTATCACAAACTACCACTACTATAAAACCGTCTCCTACAAGAATTTGCGATTTACAATTAATAACTCGGATTAAATATAGAAAACACCAAGATAATGAATGGGAAAAAAATACTAAGTAGTTTAATTACCTGAGGGAGAAGTTACACAAACAGGAGTAGTGGGCTTAGAGATGATGGGAGGTTGGGCAGTAATTGGGCCAGAAGAAGTGGACTGATAAATATGGGCTGGTAGGCCCATAGCAGCAGCCTGATGATGGTGTTGTTGTTGTTGGTGGTGATGAGAGTAAGGGTAAAATGGGTAAATTGGCATCAAAGTATTTGCTCCAGCCATCATAGCCTGACCTGGATACATCTGTGGGTGGTAATGCCCCCCGTTTATGTAGGCCCCACCACTGTAGCTTAATTTCTGCAATTACCAGTAACATGTTAGTTTCAGTTTGACCACTCAGTCAATACAAATAACGGTCTTAACAAATATAATAACGGCAAATTATAAAGATGCTAGTATTATGAAAATATTTCTCCCGTTTAACTAAAAATGAACAGAAAAATATACTATCAATACTTGTTATAGTAGATTTGCGGATAATGTTAATTATATTTATTATTGACACATAATAATACATTGAATTAATAATTGAAACATAGGGAAAACATAGGGAATTTGTTCCAAATTACGGTATACAAATTACGTACTCATGAATAAAGCCTAGCATAGTTTCCGTTCAAAAAAAAAGCTTAGCATAGTTTTGCAAATAAAGTGGGGACATCAATGAGATCTTTTTAATTGCGAGCTTAAAGAATAATAAGAGATATAACGGCCAAATATATAATTATATAAGGAATATTTAAATTAATATGGACCACTCCTTGTATTATTTGTGTAATTCAATTAATTTGCTATACATATTTTTTAAAAAATATAAATTAAATGTTTAATGTCGTAAATAAATTTATGCAAATATACAATCCAAATTGTGTTCATAAAACATCGAACAAGTCGTCATTACTCATTAGTGCAATTTTGAAATTAAGGGTAGGAAATCATTCAAAGTTAAGTGCACTACATAAAAAAATTACTTCTAATGTTTGGGATACACACCAATGTCTAGTTACAATTCACAATTGAGTACACTAACTAATAACTTTCATTATAAGAGCAAGTTTAGCCCCCAAGTCTTAAGGGTGACATCTTCATTTTAAGTCTTAAGATTTATACTTAGACTTTTCCCATTTTTCTTCAAAAATCTCAAGCAAGTCTCAAGTTGAGACTTGAAATTACTCCACTTAAGACTTGAGCGAGATTAGGACCCACTTCACCCACTTCACTTTTTTTTTTATTATCCCTTTTTTTTTTACACTTTTGTACATATAATATGTCAAATATTTAAGTCTTAGGGCTAAAGTGATAAATTTGTGTAAGTCTTAGTGAGTCTTAACAAGAATTTAATGACATCATTTCAATGGGGACCACAAAAAATGATGTTACATCCAAGTGTTAGGTCTTAAGACTTGAGGCTAAAGTTGCTCTAAATCCGAGTATGTAAAGTTTATTAATGGTTTTGCACATTTATATTAGCAATAAAAATGAAATATGCATGTTACAATCAAGTCTAATACAAGCATCCATGACATTTAGAATATTACATATTCCCTAATTTTAATAAGAAGTAGATAAAGTGTTAATTAAATGGTAGATAATAACAATGTAATCATCGGACAGCATAATTGCACACATAACAATGCATTAGGTTACTGCATGCTAATTTTAATTTATTTACTTACATGATTGTAGCCAACATCAGCTGCAATATAGGTAGGAGAGTACCTGAAAATAAGTGTTACACATTAGAATTATATATTGTAACAAGAAATTGTGTCTTAATGTCAATTAAAGCGATGCATCTAATAAAAAAAATCGAGCGACTAAGAAAACATCCTTAATTCATACCCATAGAAGGGAACAGGTTGATGGTGTTGATGGGGATGATACGGAGTCGTAGGAGTAGGCGAACCAGCACGACCACCAGCAACAGCAGCAGGATAGTACCACTGCACATGAGCAGTAGGTGCAGCAGCCGAGGTAGGGCTCAATGCACAATCAGCACCGCCGCCACCACTACCATTGTTGCCATTGTTGGATGCTGACCGTTGATGGGGTTGAGGAGTAGTCGATGATGATCTTGGTGGGCGGCGAGCCCCTAAGGCCGCTAGGTTGCAGTTAGCACGTCTGCCGTTGATAGTTGGTGTAGCATCCTCACATGCCTTCTTTGCTGCTTCCGGCTCCTTAAAAGTCACCTGTTTTATATATTATGATAACACATCATTATTATTACTGTACTTTGGATCATAACAACTCCACCAAATAAATAACGTGAAAGTCAAAATGATATATCAATTTTGCAACGGATATAAAAAATTCTGGTGTCGAATCTTATTAAAAAGATCTAAAAACTTACAAAGTCTCCCAGTAAATAAATAAGGTAAAAGGTCAAATTGGTGTAACTATTTTAAATCTGATGTAAAATATTTTGGTGTCGACCTTATAAAAAACACTGAAAACTTACAAAGCCGTAACCCTTGGATCGACCGGTGATCTTATCAGAAATGATGACAGCCTCTAAGATCTCACCAAACTTCTCAAAATGCTCATACAAGGCTTGCTTAGGGGTCTCCCACGCCAAACCACCAACAAAAACCTTTGTAAGCGTCGTATCGCCGAATTGCGATTTATTAGTATTGTTATCACCATTGTTGCTATTGAAGTCGCTCATGGTCATGTTAGGATGAAGATTAAGTTAATTGGTGGAGTGATGAAAGTTTAAGAGAAAAAAGAATAAGAAAGAATAGAGGAGTGAAAGAAAAAAGAGGTAAAATATAAGGGGAAGAAGGATAGTATGGGAAATTAAATTAAAAAAAAAAAAAAAAAGGAAGAAAAAAAGACAGGTAATGACAGGTAAGAATATGCTGATTGGGATATTTAGTGCTATAGTTGTCTCTTAGCTTTGCAACGTGATCTCATCTCTCCAATCTTGGATGTTTTTCCCACTATTATGCGGCGTATGTCATCATTTTTACGGTTTTTTTTTTTCTTAAATTTTTTTTATTAAAAAAAAAAAACTATTTTTAGTAAAGAAATTAATTGATGGAAGCTTCGTCAATTAACTAGTTCTATAGTCCCATTAGAGGCACAAGCACAATAACGTAAAAGTGTCCTTTATATAAGATGAAACAAAGGTAGCAAACAAATCATCCGTAATTATGTTGTGTAACTCGAGTTATTAAATTTCGTGTACAAATTGGGTTATGTTGTGTAACACGATGAGGTATTAATTTTCGGAAAAAGATATATACAGCCCTTATAAGAACCTAAAAGTGGAAAGAATTGACAATAAATATACAATTATTACACCGATTTACTCGTGAATTGTTGATAAATTCCCAATTTAATACTTAAAAAGGAAAGATATTAAATGCTTATATGCAGCCCTAAGGGCTGCATATAGCATTACCCTTGATTTTCAGGTACAAATTGAGTTACTTGGGTAGAGTAAATTTTTTTAGCTAAATGAAGTTTTAGCTTTGTAATTTAATACACTCTAATGTATATTTGATCTTTATTATCATGTCATTCTTAATAGTCATTTTGACAGATATATCAATACTTTTTATTTGAAATTATATTATACTTTATTTTTAAATACAACATGTCACTTTGGCACATACTTTAAACTTTTTAAAAGAGCATTAGAAAAGGTAAACAAATACGAAGTAAGACATATCAGCAAAAATAACTAGAGCAACGGTAAGGACATGTTAGGTTGTTATTAATAATAGTTTAAGTTACTCCGTATTAGTTGTTTCATCACTTTACCTTCTTAAATCTCCTCCTTTTTCTTACATTTAAATCTCCTCCTTAAATTAAATTGTATGCAAATTAAAGAAGAGATGTTGCAATTAAGAAAAATAAATAAATTAAGAGGCAGAAATAAGATATTCAAATTCAATCACATTAGCCTAACTTAAACGAGTGGGTCAAGAACACAGTGAAGAGAGATGAAACAAAAGAGAAAATAAATTATACGAAGTATTTTAGTAGAATCATGCTCAAAATTCACTAGAATTATATGTAGGTAACTAGGTAATCCATTTTATAATAATGCATGCAAAATATCATATGGATACGAGAATTTGTAAGGGGAGAAGCTTTAGAACTAACAACATCAATTCCGTTTACCCCTTGCCTCCTTAAGTATTTACTTATAGATCTAATTTTTTGATGTTAGATAATTATTACGAAACTCGTCTATAAAAGATTCAATTTAAGCCTAAAAATACATGTATATATAGCTTATAAAGTTGATGGCTATGCCGATTCCAAATCCACTCAAAATGTGGAGTTAAGGATCTATTTTCTCCAACTTAATTTCAGTTCAATTCAATTCAATTCGATCAGTTTAATTCGGTTTAATTAGTTTCTAATTTCTTTCTCTCATAAACAATTCAGTTCAACTCATTTTAGATAAGTTCAGTAAATCAAAACAAACTCTTAGTTGTACGAAGATGATCCATTAAATTATCAAAGAAATATAACTTATATTATTCACATTAAAAAAAAATTAGAGAATGGAGTTATAAAAATAGTGACTTGGCAAGTAAGGATTGGAGAGGCAATGATTCAAGCAATTGAGCACCCTCACCCATCAATCACGCGTGAGAATCTTGACAATTTAACATTCAATTAGAGAATCCTCAATCGCTTTAATTTATTAGCTTTACAATTCATATAATTATATACTAATTGATTCATGCAAATAACAAATGAAATACAAATTAAGTAGAAATTAACAAAAAATGAAGAAAAACGAAAAGGTTGTTCCAGCCTTAACATCACATGCAATCGCGTGTTGTAAATGAAGTACCAAAGCTGTCTTAACTTTTGGCACAGAGTAGAGTAGACATACACACATTCTATCAGATCATAATACAAACTACTTATGCTAACAACCTATTTATCACATGCTTTCTCCCACACCTTTGACCCACTCACTCACTGCCTAGAACTTTCACTCCTATTTCAACACTAGTTTCAGTTATGTCACGTGATCCATCAATCTATCCATGGATCGTTACACTGTTCGCCAAATTATTCCCCTAGTAACGATTACGAGTACTTGTTTACTTCCAATTTAGTTGATATATTTTTCTTAATTATAAAGTTGTTCTTATTTAGAATCTGTTCTCTTCAGGTTAATTTCTATTCAGTTCAGCTTCAATCATTTCATTTTAGTTTAGCTTATAATTTCCTTTTCTCACAAACAATTTAGTTTAGTTCAATTCAGCTTCAATCAGTTCAATTTAGCTTCAATCAATTCATTTTAATCATAATAGGCCCTTAGTTGATGTATTTCTCTTTCATTAACTCTACCTTAGTTTGGACTCCATAATCCATTACCATCGATCACAAAATAAAATAAAGAGTACGTCAATTTAATTTTTTAAAAATAATATGTTGGTTAAATTGTTTCAATTAAATAGAGACAAAGAGCGAGGAACATCTTTTGGTATGCGTGCTATCTTTATAAACTCGGTTCTCACTTTGTGCAATTGGATAATCATGTAGGAATACGATACTACTAAGTAGAACTGTCAAAAACTTACCCGATCTGAACTGGCAATGATTTGAATCTGACATGTAGCCAAACAATGGGGTGAAGCTAGACCTGTAACCTGACATGATGTTAATTGACTCCCGATTTGATCCATTACTTTACGACCTGAACCCGAACTTGCACCCGACCTGATAGTAGTTGTCAACCGATTTAATCTGACTTGACAACAATCTGAATCTGAACTAGTACCGACCCAATTAGAACCTGAAAAACGTTAAAACCCTACACAACCTGTTCTTGACCCGAGTCATGAAAGGTTTAATAGAATTTTATACACCTTTTGTTCAGGTTATATATAGGTACAATTCTGTAAACCCTCAGTCCTTAACAAAATATTATTTGGTACAATTTGTTCATCTTATATACCTTTTGTTCTCTATTACTTTGCATATAGGTTTAATAAAATCTTGATAATGCTTGATCAAATTATGCAAGACGTAATTATATAAGTTCAACTTGACCATATTGATATTTATTTGAATTGAACTTGAATCCAAATCAAGAATGATCCAACTTTAAGATAATCCGACCAAAAAATTATCTGACCAAACCCTAATGTACCATCTATTAACCCGCCCAAACCCGACTCAACACAATCCGAACCTAAAATTTAACCCGATCGAAATTTGACTCGAATCTAATTAATCCGACCTACACCCGAAAGGGTGAATGACCCGGAATAAGCTGAATCGAAATTGACCCGACCTGAACCTAAACCTGATGTGAGGCTAGATTATTGACCTAAGGAAACCTGATCTTATTAAACCCGAGACCTAATTTGACCAGATCCGAACCCGACTTGAATACCCAAATTCACAGCTCTCTTACAAAGTATTTTGAATTGTTGAACTTTTTGAGGTTTAGGTTACTAAAATAGTCTTATATTATGGTAGATTTAAAATAATTTGAAGCTCAAACTCAAAGGAGTAGTGGATAGAAGATAAAACCGAAATATATAAGTATTTAAAAGGGTAGATTATAAAGGATTTGACATTTCAAGGTCTTTCATCCTTCTCATTTTACTATATCTAGGTAAAGGTGCTAAATTTTTTTAATCATATCTTATAGAGTTACCAGTATATTAACACATGTAACTAACTATAAAGTTAAACATCTTTATATCTTAGCAAATACTCCTTACTCTCTCTGCGATAAACTGTGTCCTTGACTGTAGTACAAAAACAAGTATTATATCCTAACTAAATTTATAATTTCACTACACTTTTGTGGTCAAACGTGGTTAGTTTTGACCATCACTTTTTATTTTTAATGCATACTTTCCATCGCAATTAAACTATCTACATTCAATTTCTATAAGTACTCTGAGACTGGATATAATCGCCAATGTATTGATATAATAAGGAGAATGGATCAATTTGGATTGATAAATCTACAATTGTTATATTGCCTTACAAGTTACAATGTACCCTTAGTTTAGCAAAAAAAAAAAATTGGGCATTAAGAACTTCTTATAATTATAACGGTCCTAAAAAGGGAGTACACATTGGTTATAATGCTAGATGGAAATGAGTTGAAGAAATACTTCTACTACGTATATATTTGGATCATGTAGTCCAAGAGAATTGATGAACTTTCCAAAATTGACCTAATTGGCTTATTTAGGATATCAAGAGAGGGCAACGCAAAAATATGTGTGACCTTTCTAAGTTAAGATGAGTTCACATGTAGAGAATAGAAAAAATCACATATCAAGTTGAAACTAGCAATCGCATGTTGAATGAAAGGAGCTAACAACTTACTATCAATCCGTGTAACGCCGCTTGACCGCTTGTTACTAAGGGCATGTTCTCTTACGTTGAAATTCAGTTCAGTTCAGTTCAGCTTAATTCAGTTCAGTTCAGTTCAGTTCAACTCAGTTCAGTTCAGTTCAGTTCAATTCAGCTCAGCTCCTAATTTCTTTCTTTATAAAATATTTAGTTCAGTTCAGTTCAGTTCAGCTAAGTTCAGTTCAGTTCAGCTGAGTTCAGTCAATAAGAACAGACCCTAATATATATTGTAATTTACTTTTATGAGGTTATACGTAGTCAGACTCTTCTGTGACTTTGTAATTGACTTAATCCAATGAAGATTCATAGAGGGCAACATCCCTAAGGCAAAATCAAAATATTAGTAAGGGGATGAAATTATTTTGCTGTATTTAAAAATAGAATGTTGATTGTTGAATGGGTTAGTTTGAGCAGCTGGACTCATAAACAAGGGGTCTCCAAATAGTGAGCACTGAGCTGGAAAGTAGACACTGTACCGATTGGACTCCCCATCATATGGGTCTCATAATTTGTGAAGTGGCATATGCTTTGATTAGCTTTGTTTTCAACAAATTAATTTAATAATAAATAACAAAAAAAAAAAAAAAATTATTAAAATTATTTAAAGGTAGCATATCACCTGTGTCGCCTTGCTTCTTGTACTAAATTATTAAAAGCATATATTCTAAATATATTTATATTTAATGACCACAAAAATATTTAAAATATTTTGTTAAAACTATATAAAAAGGAAAAAAAAAAAAAAAAAAAAAAAAAACCTATAGAGTATATAATTTTTCAGTTAAACAAAGTATGAGAGTATAAATCATTCAAGGCATAATTGCCGCTGGATGTACACTAGTACTTCGTATAATACATTTATACTTCCAACTTGGTGAACAAGAAGCAACCTCCTCTGTCAATAACGTGCTGTAGAAATATTTAATTTTTACTTGTATGCCTGAAAAGCAGAGTTGATCTTGAATTGAGAAAGGGGTAGTTTTGGTAGACTCGGTAGCGATGTTATAATGTATGTGTATTACTTCCTCCGTGTTTTAATAAGGGTTACATTTTGAGCGATATTTATTTTTGGACAATTTAATTGACTTAAATTAGATAAGAGGTAAGTGGAGTAGCATGCAAGACCCTTTAGAAGTGAGGAAAACGGGTTTTTATCCCACAGACCTTTTCTGTTTAGCAAGTAAATTTGTGTATGATTACATGAATTTACATTGTATATGTAAAAACAAGTACAGAGTAGCTTGTAATATACTTCCTCCGTTCTTTTTTACTTGATCCGCTTTGACTTTTACACTATTCACCACATCTTCTTTGACCGTATTTTGTGAATGATATGTAAGGAAAAATATATTCATATGATATCTTTTTTAATTCGTCTCAATAAGTACTATCGTAATATACAACTTTTATAATTTTTACTTGTGAAGAATTAAAGTTATTGATCGCTAAAGTTTTGCATTGACAAGCGTGATAAAAGAAACAGATCAAGTAAAAAAGAACAGAGGAAATATGTCTTATGAATCAAGAGAGAAGTACATTAGTGAGTAGGAAATGCGGATGGGAGTAGTTCCTTACTTCCATAACATATCCAATACGGAATTGTCTTTGGTTTAAATTCCATATTACTTGAAATTGCCAGATTACTAGAAGAAAATTATGCTGGTATGAAGCATTTGGAATACAGCTCAATATTGAAAATGCAGGTTGAAAAATACGACACGAAAAGATACAACACAGGAAGATTGATACACAGAAGATTCAAGGTCTTATAATAGCTAAGTTACATTCAGGAGGAAAAAAGATCGAAGAAAATGGGACTAAAATCATCTAATCTTTTGGCAGATTGTAATTTGCTTTAGCAGCACAAAAAGTAACAAATTACAGTCAATTCCTTTATAAACAATTCGCACAGGTTAAACTTACACAGTAAATAACCTGTTTCATAAAACTAGTGGATAGCCTTCAAGTCCAGTTCTCTTCATGATTTCATTCTGCAAAAGTATATCAGAAGTGAGGGAGAGATCATTCATCGGCTAACCCTTTCATGAACAAAATGATAGCCAGAAAAGTCCATAAAAATGTCTTTGGGTCAATGTTTTGAAAAGTTTGAGGCGCATAAAGAAGGACTTATCATTGTGAATCTAAGAGCTCATGCTACAGTGAACGAATTTAAACCTTTTACAACTAAGTTGATGATGATCAACACTTCCACATGCACCCAGCCATGTCAGAGAGAATTACCCTTTCACAAGCGCTCCACATCTCTTATGCCTTGTAACCTATGTATACCTAAAACACTAAAAGGTACCGCCGTTGCAGCCAGTTTGGCAGGAATTCAAGAGGAGAGGGAGGGGGGAAATGAAAAGATCGGAGTAGCACCCCAAATGCAGTAGAATTTTTGTCATTCAAAGTGGAGAATTTACTTTGTTCCTCAAATGTACAATCAGAAAAAGGAATCCAAATAACACTCCCAAAACTTGAGCAAATAAAATCGCCAATGCTCACATTATGCAGATAAGGAATGCCTTCAAACTGAAGCTTAGGACCAACCATGTATTTTTAAAATGCAGTATTATTGTTGACTAGAACAAATTTACACCTCGAGTAATTTTAACAACCTAACAGAGCAAATGATATATCAGCACTTTTTAAAGCTCATGTACATTACTGAATATACCTGGATTAATGCTGTAATCATCCCTGGACTCTCCTGTTTAATTTGATAGAAGGTGACATTAGAGATAAGGTGAGAAAGCTATATAATAGCATATGCTGGTTTAAAGCGTACGGGAATGTTATGAAAATGCATACCTTAAAATTCTTCTCCATCCACGACACTTCTTTCCAGGATTTTGATCCTAATGAGGTCCATGATCGAGGGGCTTGAATCGTTTCGACATGCTGCAGAAGTCTCAAACTATCTACAGTAAAGCAGACAGAAAAAGAGGAGTTAGGTGGAACAAACAAAAAAATTCATAGGATTCCAAAAAATCATGCTTAGTTATAATAACTGAGATGACACATGACAAAATATATTTCTCCAAATTCAACCAAACTTGCTCTTCTTTGACTAATGTGTTGTTAATCATTAATGTTGCTCAGGTATTTTAAAGTTGTCAGGCTTCTTAGAAATATCCAAATCAGATACATCTATCATTTTTTCCATTAAGCTTCTAACTCTCAGAGGCCATGCCAAGAATTTATATACCTTCAAGGTGTTGGTCCATGCCCAACATTGGAAAAGCAAATAAATGAGGTCCAGATTGGTTACTTTAACGACCGTCAAGAGATGAAAACCTAGAAGCAAGTGATAATTTAGTACTCCAAACATTTAAGTGATAGCACTCCACTAACTCATGGTAAGGCTGTCTATTATATACCTAATATTAAAGCAAATGAGGTAGAAGAAACACAATGCACATATTTTTTATTTATAATAGCCCAGCAGCAGGGCTGCAGCAAAGGTGCCTCTTTCCTTTAAAAAATATTGAGAAAGTTTACATATAATAGAACAAGATAGGATATTCACTTGTAACAAATGCTTCTTCCCAACTGTCACGTTCTGACCAAGATGGTGATTCTTCCCGAATTGCAATTCCCTTGCTCAAACATATTCTGTTTTTGTAAAATAACAGAAGCAAAAAATGTTACCAAATTTACACAGTGAGCTTGATCTTTGACTAGGGAAGCATAAAATGCGTTGCTTCAGAACAAATATGAAGAATATATATATTTCAACAAAACTCAACATATTCCATTGCACGAACTAAGAAGCATGACCTAAACAATTGTTTATGATTGCCCTAATAGTAGCTAATATTAAGTATCCTTTTCTCATATGAGTCATATTATAATACTCCATAATTCCTTTCATCAATGGGGGTGGAGGAAAGCAACCTACCAATGATAAGTTAAATTGTTTAGAATATAATCCCTGGGGCTATAGCAAAACAAGAATTACTTTGAAAATTCCTGCAGTTTAATACGAAATACGCCTTTTCTTTGAAAGATCATAAAGGACATATATTTTCTTAGAGAAATAAAAAAGATGAAGCAGATTTGTTTGACAATCAGACCCTTCAATTCAGATGGAGAATTATCTCGTGGCAGGACTTGACTATAAGCTTCCAAAACAACCTTTCACTTTCTAAGAAACCAAAGTAATTGAACAAATGTGAATGATAGAGAGGTGGGATTTATACCCAATGACAATTCTGCCAAACCAACCACTAGTCTAGGTTGGAGGGAGTATTAGTGATGGTTATAAGAACAATAAACTGTAAAAAGCATTTAAACTAAGATATTAACAAGCATTTCAGGGAGACATTAATGCTAAATTCTAAATTAAAAGGTAAGTGCACTTACTCAATTACTAACTGGCGGATAACACCGGGAAGGACACCGTCTTTTACAGGAGCTGTCTGTAATTCATATGATTGCAAAGTCCCGCGATTTATAGATCTTTTCTCAGTGACTTCATTATCCCCCTATATATATTCATAGACACATGTTTAAGAAAACTCGATTTTACTATTACAAAAAAAAAAAAACAAAAACAAAAACAATCACAGCAACAGGAATGCCTAATTTCCTAAATGTGGTCAATTAAAAATCACCTTCGCTTACGTTCACCTACTCCGCCAAATACGGAAAATACACAAACAGAGTCACAATTAAACATTTAGACCAACAAATCAAGCCTCATACCTGGCCAAACACCCCCTCCCCCGCTCCTATAAATGTTCCAATTTCAGAAACCCAACAAAGATCACATTTCATAATCCCATTGCATTCAAGATTTAATATTCTTTCAATAATAATTCACAAGAAGAATTGATAAAAGAAAAAATTAGAGGAAACCATCAAATATATACCCCTTATTAAAACAATTACCTCATAATAATTTCAACTTTAAACTACTTTTTTGTTCAAATAATGCCACCAGTAACAGTATTCACTAAGGAAACAAATCACTACACTCTTGTGTCATATAAACGTCTCTATCTCCATCCTTTTTCCATTGAATTACTGTCTCCAATTTAAGTCCCTCTATTCTTCTAGTATCAAGCAACAATTATTCACTCTCCATTGTTGCCCATCTAGGCACTACGGGTTTGCCATCTTGACGTGCTCTCAACTCAAAGTAGAACCTTACTTTCAAACTTGAAAATTTGGAAAGAGAAATAACAATGATGGGTGTATCTAATCAACTAATCAATATTATTAGATGTTTACCAAAAATTCCACTCAACATAAATTTAAAACTCTGGATTAGAAAATCAAGCATCTAACAAGTATTTGTTGAAGCAACATGATAGATTTAAGAACTAAGGTTAAATTTTCCATTACTAGTTTCAAAGAAGTTTAAGATAAGAAGCACGAAAACCTTAAATGTACAAAGCTTGTGATGGAAGCGAATTGGTTGTCCCATACTCCCATGTAAAAACGGAAGGAACCAAATAACACAATATGGGTAAAAAGACTAAATACATGGGAGAAGAGGGGAATCAGATTGTAAACTAAAGATGTTTTTGAAGGTAGGCCTATAAAAAATTACGAGGATAGATATAAAGTAGTTCTCTAGATTAAATAAACTAAGCCTTATGAAAGTCAAATCCAATAAAAATGGTAAAAGGATAGGATATTGTCACTTATTGCCACAAAATAGAAAAGCTCCAATCATATCTAAGGTTTATTGATTTTTAAAACATCCAAAACAATGGATGGATAAAAATTATACTTTGTATGTTACTTAGCAGCTAGAAGAAACATTCAAAGAAAAATTTACCCAATTTTGTTCCAAAATGAAGTGTTCATGAGTCATACGAACATACCAAAGTCCAACGGTCGAGTTTCCAACATGAATACTTAAGGCGAAATGAAGAGTCAGAGTAACATATATCTTCCACTCCACATATAACAATTGTATGCAGAAGAAGTGCAAAAACTTGGGTCCACATGATTGCTTTATCACATTTTGAGGAGGAGAAAGGCTATTGATTTACTACTCCCTCCGTCCCTTATTACAAAGCCTCTTTCTCTTTATTATGTGAGTAATAAATCCTAGAAAGAGGCTTTGTATTAAGGGACTGAGGGAGTATTTTTTAAAGAATTGAGCGTGTGTGTGGGCCTATTAGTCTATTACACATCTTTCTCCATAAAAAGGATTAAAGTGAGGAGTTTTTTTTTTTTTTTTTTTTTTTTTTTTTTTTTTTTTTTTTTTTGTGGAACATATGAAAAAAGAAAGGTAGTAGTGCTTGAAGAGTGGAGGGGAGTGGCATAATTTTTTCACTAACATGTTAGTACGATAATAAATCTTCTCATAAAGTCATGGATAAACTCACTAATTAGCCACAGCACCAATAGCCCACAACCAGATGTATGGCATTGTGCATGTCACCTACTCCTGTTTCAACCTTTGATGTTGCTATAAAGGACTCAACAAAACTTGCAAACTAAAAAAAAAAAAAATAAAGATCATGATTATGCAAACTGATACTGTACAATTGATATCGAAAACTAGGTTATAAAACAAATATACAAAAAAAAAAATAAATTCCATCAGCAACAGGCATTAAAGGATCATATTTTAATGTTCTCTTTCTTATAATTAAAGTCAGTAAAACCAGAATAAAACCTCATCCTGCTTACAGGGGCTCCTTTATGGAGTGCAAAAGGTCAGGTTCCTATATGATACCTATACATAATTAACTTCTCACCTTAAAACGAACTACAAAGAAATTTGTAATCGACCCTTCAAGTATTTGATCACCATTGTCTGACAATAAAAGTTCGGTAGCAGAAGGAGGTCTCAACATTTCCAATGGCTTCCTTAGCCTACCTAGAACATAGCTTCCCATATTACAACTCAGAATGACCACAGGAGTTAAAGCCATAAATATTTCAGCATACAAAATAGGAAGATCCATGAAATGCCTATGCACACATTCTTTTACAGCAATTTTCTATACACCAGTTTCTCAGTGTTAAATTATGGCAAAGCATAAGATTTTATATTAAAGAATTTACACCAACAGCAAAGATGCATCATACATTCATCTTAAAAATTTCAAATGTGTAAGACTGGAAAAGCATCCATAAAATGCAGTAAATAAATCACACTCAATAGTCAAAGTTGCATTGGCTTAGTAGTATGGGTTACTATTCTTATCTCTCCACTGCATCTCCCTTTCTCCTCACCTCCCACTTCTTTCCCTTCAAACATTAAATCCATAGACTAGTAACTCAACATGAGGAAAATAGGCGCTCAAATATTGTTTCATGGCCTCTAGTTCAACTAATATATTGCCATCTAATAATTAAGTACACTCGAATACTACATCATGATGAAAGCCCACATGTATGAAACATTTGATGTTGATCCTAACTGATTCACAACTACTTCTAGCCCTTTACATGAATATAAGTCTCCTCGAGTCACGAAATCCAGTGGCAAGCCTAAAGTAATCATCTAATTCAACCAAGGGGTGGAAAGCTACTTTTGCTTCATTGACCAATCTAACAAGAAGATCACACATTGCTCTTTTTAACCTCATATCAATCATATTCATACACACACCAAAGTAATAAAATGTTGATAATAATATAAACATGAAGTTCAAAACTACAAAGCGCAAATTAACTACAAGACAGTAAAGAATCAAAACAAACAAAATTAGATATCCAAACCTTGCCCAATCAGAGTACTTAGCCTCAGCAAAATCCCTCCTACATCCAACCACAGCCAATCGCGCCGCGTTCCCCTCAACACCAAACACCGGTGGCACATACATTCCAATATGCACATACACATCCAACACCCTATCAATCATCTCCTCCTCATTTCCCCCCTGAATTCCACTCAATTCCTCATTATTCCCTCCAACAAGCGTCGAAATCGCCAATTCCTCCCCTTTACCCCTCTCCTTAATCGCAACCGGAAGCGAAACCCTCATCGCATCATTAACACGACGAAGAATCAAAGAATCCCAATTCACTGAAGACGAAAATAAGGAAGACCCAGAAAATTGGGCCCCAAAAACGAGGCGGGGGTTCGATTTAAACAGGAATTGGATTGAATTGGAAAGTCGCTTGAGATGGCGGTCCCAGAAGAGGAGGAGTTCGCCATTGTTGTGGGTTCGAGTAGTGGTGTAAGCACCTGCAAATTGTTGAATTTCTAGGGTTTAAGCTTCAATGGTTGAAGAGAGAAGAAGAGAGAGAAAGAGAGGAGAGAGAGAAAACCTGAGTGAGTTTCGAGGAAGGTGGAGATCGACGGTGTGTCGGAAGGTGGTGAAAGGACGCCATTTGTGAAGAGGAATCTCGCCGTCGACATCTTCTGTTTTCAGGTAGCCGTTTGAAAAGGCGCCACCAATTTCAGCGAAATCAGATTTTTGGTGGAAAATAAAACAGTTGATTAAGGGGTTAAAATGTTATGGAGTAAATGGTTTGACTTACCTAAAAATTTTTGAACCTCACTTGGCTTAAAAAAAAAAAAAAAAAAAAAAAAAGGAAAATTTGTCAAGAAAAACCTTTTAAAGTGTTCTTTTTGTCTAAAAAAACCTTTTAAAAATTTTTTGGCCAAAGATAAACCTTCAATTTTTTTTTTGTTCAAGACAACCAAAACCCACTTTCCGACATTGACTCACCATTCTCCTGCATTGGCAGCATGTGCCACGCACATGACCCCTATTTTCCTAATTACACCCCACTTTGCCTAATTTCACACCCTTTTCTCTCCAATTTAACACTCTCTCTCCTACTCTATCTCTCTCTCTCCTACTCTCTATATTCTATTTCATCTCCTTCTTTCCTTTGTGTTCTCAATGAGCCATGCTTAGGCGCTTTAAGCTAAGTGAGACGATCTCTTATCAGGTCGATCACTTTATGTAATCAAGCCGATTACTAAATCATGTCAAATTGCTTAGAGGGGCTAACTGGCGTACCAAGGAACCCAAAAATATGTTGCAGAAGGCTAGCTCAACCTCATCAGGTGGCTGGGTGCTTTGGCGTCGCTGAAAAACCATCAGCGCCACACATGGCCTTAGCGCCAGGCGCTGATATTGGCGCCAGGCGCCAAGCCAAATTTGTGACGCCAATGCATAGGGCTTGGCGCCAGCACGGGGATTCCTTAAATACCCCTTTCCTCTTCATTTCGCTGCTTTGTCGTCGCGAAACTGCTCGAAGAAACCCGAAAGCTTCAATTGCTCATTGCTTGCTCGTTTCTCAACCGAATTCGCTCAAATTTGTTGCAAATCAAAGCTCTTTTCATCTATTTTCCTGATCTATGTAAGTTTTCTTCAAACTCACATCAGTTTTTATGAATTCTTGGCATGTTTATTCACGAATTTCATGAAAATTCGAAATTTATAATGCTCAATTTGCTTTGTTTGTCAAGTTTTATGCCATGAAATTGCTTGATTATGTTTGTATATTGCCTTGGGAGTAATTTGAGACTTGTTTGACTCAATTTGGTGAAGAAATGAGCAATTTGCCATTGTTGGACCTCTTAAGGTCGTGAAGAACAATGTGACTTGTTCTTGATGTTTTTGCTAGCAATTCTTGTTCAATTTGTCACAATAATCACTATAGTGTTGCAAGAAATTGTTTGATTGCTTGAAAAATGTTGTCATGCTCAATTTGAATTTGTGCTCTGTTTTAGTACTACGTACTCTGTTTTTGCGAACATAGTATCATGCGGCTAGGCGAACCTTAGATACTATAGAACCTTAATTCATGATAATTTTGCACAATGTAGCATGGCTAGACAACGAGGCTCGGGTTCACGGTCCCGAAACACTAGACGGGAGCATGAGCCCGTAGAGGATGACATCACGCCTTCCACTTCGCTTGGTCGACTTCCGGAGTGGGATGAGCGGACCTTGTTCTTCGCCCCTGTCCACCACATTTCTGAGAGGGTGAGACAGGCATCGCCCGGGAGGACACGGCATCACGGCTCTGGCTGTGATGGTTTAGGCGATTTGTACAGGATGTACATCGCCAGGGATCTTGAGACGAGACTCCTATGGGAGTCTTGCGGCTAGCTACTCTGTTCGAGACCTCCGAGGCTATGGTTGCCTCCAGCGGGGGTCATCATGTAGTGCGCGCTTTGGTGGAGTTCTTCTGGGACACCACCAACACCTTCCATTTCCCCTGGGGCGAGATGATGGTCACCCCTACGGACTTCAGTCTCATCACAGGACTGGAGTTCACTTCTGTGCCACTGCCGTTTGACAGTGGAATCGACGTCTTCTCTTCGGAGGTCGAGGAGTTGTTGGGGCCGATCGCTATTCGGGCCCGAGCTGAGGTCGAGACGACTCAGTTTAGTGCTAGAGGAATTCGCCGCTCGACGCTGGCAGCGGCTCTTGATGACGATGCGACCACCCGAGAGCAGCGGGTGCGCATCTTTGTGCTGATGTTGTTGTCAGGGACATTCTCCCCTGACAAAGGTAGTAGGCGTTGCTTTACTATCTTCCTGCTGTCCGTGATCTCACCGGATCGGGACTTATGACTGGGCCAGCTTGGCCTATGCTGACTTCGTTCGTGCGCTGAGGGACTCGTGTCGACACCGGTCCTTTGGGACGAACGTTGCTTTGTCTGCTTTTTGGAAGGTCGTAGAGGTAAACATTTATTCCCTATAAAGTTTAGCTCTGCATATTAGTTAGCATTTACTCACACTTTTAGCTCTTTGTAGATCTGGTTCTACGAGTACTTTCCTTCTGTTGCGCCGGCGAGACCATCGCCGCGGGGATTTCCAGTGAGCGCCTCTTGGGGCGGTCATCATGTGGATGTCCACTACACATGTCCGGAACCGGATCATCTCGGTACGACTTTTATTGTTTATCTTGCTTTTCCGCGGTGCTTTAGATATATTCTTGCCTGATTGATGCTTTTTAGGGACCTGAGGTGGTATACCGGCCGTGGGCGGTTGGACAGTCCCTGGATTAGCCGCACAGTATCTGCTGAGCGTCGCTATTTCTGGGGACTTATGGAGCGGTCGCGTACTTAGGAGAGAGGGTCGCTAGACAACATTCTTCTGATGTCTTCGTCGTTCCTGCTGCTCCACCACGTCATATGTTCGACGAGGCGCGGTTGTCGAGCATGTCTGAGGGAGCTGGTACCCCTTGGCGGTCCCATGTGATCCTCGGGCGGTGTTATGCTGAGGAGCTACTACCTTTGTTAGCTCCAGCCCGTACCGGAGGATGTGAGGGTAAGATTTTCTTAGCTTTACTTTCCACTAAGTAGCCCCCAAGTAATGTTTTACTGACCTTTTTGTCTTATCAGGACGGTGCTGCTGAGTTCGTGCCACCCCGTATGTCCATCCACTACCAGGGGATGTACGGGCCGATCGAGGAGATGATTTCTCCGGCTCCCGAGGGCGAGCGCTTCGTAGAGCGGTCGATTCCTCGCCACCAGACTAGAGTAAGCCTAGTTTTTTTCAGAATTTTGTGTTCATATATCATGCATTTTTACTGACTTATTTTTCTGACAGTTTTCACGCGAGGTGGTTTCGGCGATGGCACGATGCATATGCCTTCCGGAGCCAGCTCGTCCGGATGAGGAACGCGGCCACTTGCCGTCGGGATGACGTCATCCGAGAGGTAGCCTTTCTTTACTCATTATTTTTGCATTGCTGCTTCAATTTTACTTTGTTTTGATTTAACTCTTTTTGCAGGGCCAGCCTATTGCTTCTCACACCCGCGCGAGACCTGAGGGGCGGAGGGATCCAGCGAGGTCTAGCTCGAGACGTCGTCGCACTTCGTCAGGGGGTAGAGGCGGTCGCTCTGAGGCTGCTCGAGCTGACGTTGCTGAGGGCTCGGGATCTTCTTCTGAGGGTGCTCATGCTGCACCGGTAGGAGAGGCTACCTCGGCTTTCAGAGGTGGTGGGATGTACGAGGTTGGCTCGTCATCGCAGCAGCCTCCGCGGCCTCAGCCTCAGGTTGATCCTGGCTGGAGTGGTCCTATATTGAGTCTTCCTCCTCCTACGGAGACTGGACTGGAGCTGGAGCTGGTGGAGAGGTGACTCCTCGTACGGCGCAATTTTATGAATGATGGGCCTACGTCCTCGGCGCCGTAGTTTGTTCCTGTGTATATTTTATTTTGACTTTTTTATAGAACTTTGCCTTAGACTCATTATTTATAGACACATTTTGTATATTTATGCTATTATGAATTTATTTATGTTGTGTATGTTTGTGTGTGCAAGAAAAGTGTGACAACAATTTTGCGCAAAAATTCCGTCATTTTTATTATTGATGGAGGGTATCCGACTCTCTCCCCCAAAAAGAAAAAATAAAAAAGGAAAAAATCGAATAAATGTCGGGTGTTTGGAATTTAAAATAAAGTCCAAAAAGAATAATATAAATTAAAAATAATAGCTATATTTAATTAATTAAGAAAAAGGATAGAAAAGGATTAAACGAGCCATAAAGTCATTAACCGACTCGAGTTTAATATTAAAAACGCAAGTTGAGCACGCGCGGCTGGTCTGGCAACTTGGCGCCAGCTGGCGCCACACTATGGCGCGTGGCGCCAGGCGCTACACTTAGCGTGTGGCGCCAAGCGCTGGCGGCTGGCGCCAATTGACGCTGATGCTGTATTTTAATCTGATTAAAATTCCTCGCAATTTGTGTATAAAATCCCCCTGCCAGTCGATTCTTCTCATAATTCCAGCGAATAAATAATTCTCTTCTTATAAAAAATAATTATGTCTTTAGTCACCAAAACCTTCACCAATACACTCATGAATGGTGTCGATCTCTTAATGCGAGGGAGAGAAAAGAATTAGATTTATTTCACCTGGGGGGAATTTATGGCATCAAAGGGGTAGATCTTGACCTAGACTTCATACATACCGCTTTAGAATTTTGGAATGTTGATACTCATTGTTTCAGAATAGGGTATGATGAGATTAGCCCTTTGCCGGAGGAATTTGGTGCTATCTTAGGCTTCCCTGCAATAGACCTTATAGCAATCCCTAGAGTAGATGCATACTATTATAAGGATTTTGAGCGCTTCTTTAATTTAAAGGAAAGGGATTTATCAAAAATAGTAGATGGCAACATAGTTAATTTGAAAGAATTTGCACGCCATTATTTTGATAAACCTCTTTCTGAATCTTTTCATATATATAGAAGAAGGGCGTTCCTATTTTGCATGCTTAACCAATTTTTTCTTAGTAGTGGTAAAAATAATGAGGGTCAATCAATTATAACCACTGTACTAGAACAAATTGAATCAGGGAGAAATCCAATGCCATTAATAGTTGGAGAGACTATGATTAGTCTAGATGAATTGAAAAGGGACCCAAAAGCGCCTCTTCGCGGCTCTCCAATTTTATTACAGGTAGAAAAATAATATTTTTAATTACAGAAATCAAAAAATATATTTTTGTATTGTAATAATAATTTATTTGCATTGCAATTTTTTTACAGATGTGGCTAATGGAGAGGCTAGGATTAATTAGCCCTCCGGACGACATTGAAAAATATACTCCCAATTGCTTCGTGAGAAGGAAGAAGC